CTGTGTGCAGGCCAACGAGGACTTGCCGCTCAGCAGAATGGGCCCGACGTCGACGTCGTACGGATACGCGTTGGGCCCGTAGACGACAATCGGGCCGACAACGCCGTCGCCGTACTGCGCCGAGTAGTGCGAGTGGTACCACGCCGTGCCGTACAGCGTCGCCTGGAACTGGTACGTAAACGACGACCCGGGTGCAATCGGGCACTGCGTCACCGCCGGCACGCCGTCCTCCCACGGCGTCCCCTGCTGCAGGAACCCGTGCCAGTGCAGCGTCGTGCCCTCCTCGGGCTCTGTGATGTTGTTGTGCACGGTCACCTGGATCGTGTCGCCCCAGTTGGCCTCGATCAAGGGGCCGGGGAACCCGCCGTTGATCAGGATCATGGACTTGCTGTATCCGTCGGGCGCGAGCGTGCCGCGGCTGATGGTAAAGTCGTACGACCGGATCACGCCCGTGGTCGGGTGCGTCGTGTACTGGTCAGTGCCGTTGACTGTGAGCGAGCCCCAGGGATAGCCTTGGGGCAGCGGGTTGTTTGTGAGGAAATGGGGAAGGTAGGGAGCGGCGGCCGTTCCCAGCACAGAATTTCTATAAAGGTGAGGCTGTGTCGGCAGTGTGGACAGAGAAACGGAGGAGGTACACGACATACCCGTTGGTTTGCTCCTGGGTGAGCGTGGCGGCAGCAAGACCCGGCAGCACGGCCGCAAATAGTCGATGATGCCAGCCCATGGTGTCGGAGGGATGGTAAAGAAAAAAGAGAAGGACAAAGAAAAACGACTGTAATGAGCGAACGCCTTGTATAAAACGAGAGAATAGGGGTGAGAACAAGCAACTAAGACAACAAGCAGGCACGTCCGGTCATGGTCCTTGTATCTGCCTTTTTCTTTATCTTAAAAAAGTCAGATGCGAGACTGAGTTGGATCGAAACGTAGAGACATGGACGACATGCGGCCGATGTTGGCCTCTTTTATATTTTCTTGGCACTGTCGCTTTGGTATCCGGTCGTACCATTTTCTGTTTACTATCTACCCACTTCGATTGTATCCATCATTCACTCCTGGCGGCCAGGGTGCCGGTAGCCAGTCCCTGGGCGCAGGTTCGGCTTGCATTTCGAGTATCCTACATCTCGCCAAATGTGTGAGAAGTTGGAAATGCAGTAGAACGAGACCCCATCTGGCGCCCCCTCCCACCGTCGCTTCGCATCACCTCTACCATCACCGCCACATTGGTTCCCCAGAGGTCAACGTCCTTGCTTGCGTCTTCCCCTGCGGAAGACCGAAGACTGCATGGAATTGCAGAAACGACCAAAATAACGACATGGTATTCAAAAAACAGCGGTAAATAGGAGGGAGGCTGGACGCCTCTTTTCTCATTTGCTTCTAGTACGACGGCAGGATACCTGTTTACTCTCCCTGGTTGAGCAGTCAACAACGCACAAGAAACGAGGCTGAGTAGTAGCTGGCACGCCATGGCATCATAGACGAGAGAGAGCTGTGCCTAGCCGACCTACCTCTTTATACCGTCACAATGGTAACGTCAACTTATTGTTTCTAGTCATGGCTATTATTGCTTGCCGTGCCCTAAGGCGAACTGGTTCTCAGGAACGGACATTTTGTGAGTCGTTGTCTCTCTTGTTATCCCCCTGCGTCGTGTCTTGTCTTGCCTTGGGCTCCTTCACACACGCCCAGCTGCACCCAAATGGACAATCAGGAGTGGTAAGACGATCATGCCCAGGATGTGGGTGGTACAAATCGATATTTTGTGCAGCAATTACTTACCATTTATATTATTATTTTTCCCTTGTTCCTGTACGTGCACCTCCTGTGCTGTAACCGAGGCGTCCCGTTTTGCACAGCCATCAACAACATGGGCATGGTGGTTGTCTGCAGTGTCTAGAAAGCAACGCCCGCCATGACATTTGTGACCTTGTAAACCACGTCTATTTTCTTGGCCGGTTCTGCTCGCTCCCTTTCCAGTCGTTGGCGGCGTGATACACAACAAGACCTAGTTTGGATCGTTGTCGTCTGAACAAATGGGATGGCGGAAATAAAAAGACGAAAAGGGCGGCCAGTGGCTCTGAAAGTCGCAACCGAAGGATTTTACACAACCAATTAAGTGGTGCAGGAAGCATGACCATGGGCGAAGCGAAAAGACCCAACTAAATGACCTGCCTGGGGAGTACAGGCAGGATTAAGGCCGGGGTATCTTTTATTGGGGGTTGTTGTCGTAAGTTTGCTTTCTGGACAGTTGGCGAGTGCAGATGGCGCTTGTATATAGCAATATTGACTTTTGACCGGAAATGCAAAAAGACGCAAAAGCAAGCATCAGAGCTAGACATATTTAAGACAAGTAGGACTCTGGCCAAGAACTGTGGCAGTCTCCCGATAGAATCAGAAACAAAACCCACAGGGAGAGACACGTAGGAGAATACAACGGAGAGAATCCAAGAGCTCGGGAACAGGGTAGCTGAGACAACGACAACGAAGAGGGGGACAAGGGAACACAAGCAGGGCCGGATAGGGTCTGGGTAAGACTACAAGGGCGTGGTGGGCTTATTGGGATGGTTTTCATCAATATTTATTAGTAAACAACCTTTTCTGAATTTGTTTGTACTTTATTCAAAACAAAATAAAAAAAAGAAAACAAATCACACTTGACAATAATATTTACTCGATTCAATTCTGACGACATTATATTGAGGCTCCCCTTTATGCTTGATGGGAGTTGGCAGCGTATAACATCTCGATAAAAAAGTTGCCCTTGAACTGCAACTTGCAGTACACCGAGAACCCCAATGCAAGCAGTCTGCAAGACAGCCGAGACATACACAGACATGTAGCCATGGCTGGGCGCACTGACGTGGGTGGCCGTGACGCAGTATGGGGCAAACATTGCAAACCGGAGAAAATATCCAGAAAGCAAGAAAGAATTAAACGAAGAAGAAAGAGGGAGCATGAAACAAAGAGGAGATTTAGAAAAATTCCGATAATATGAGATAATTAAATAAACATTCGGAAAAAATAGCAGACAGTACAAAGATACCTGGAAACAGGAAAGAATCCGGTGAGAACGAGGGTAATGTGTTGAAGGCTTTACAGTGGTGTTTCAATGCAAGGTCTCACATAATTACACCTTCATTTGTTTCCTCGGTATTGATAAATAGGTGGACAACGCTGGCAGGAAGAACTATTCTTAAACAAGCTGTCGTCTCCCACTTCCACTACAATTGGGCCTACGAGTATTGTCCATTTTTCATCCCTGCCCTTTCCCCGTCACATTCTTTGCACTTTATTCATCGGGCCTTGCCCCGTCGTCCCCACGAATACTCCAGTAGGACAAGATGTACCAGGGAACTACTCTCAACAAGGTAGAGGTTGCCACAGTGCTGATAAGGAGTGACGAGGAACGACCACGGCCGGATGGAGTATTCCCACCTTGGGTCATGATCGGCTCAAGATCGTTCATTCGATCTATGTGACTGCATGCTCTGCTGTAACGAAAAGACGACGAAACGAAAGACAGCAAGGGGTAAAGCGCCCGGTCTGATTGTCCATATTCTTTTGTCCTCTTCTCATCATGTCCTCCCCTGATCCTTCCAGTAAACCTTGCTGCACTCGATCCCGGGGCGAGCTAAGCACAACTGCACAACACGGAGAACAGAGCCTGGCTTTTTGGGCTGGCCTGCAGATTTCTTGTGGAACATCGGTGAGTTGGGGCGTTTATACATTCATATATTTATACCATTGCTATACCTTCTTTCCCCCTGTCTGGTGATTTTGTGGCCGTGATCGCCGACCACTTTCGATACATGGAATATACGCTCTAGAAAGTGCCGAGAATATACGGGTAAGACAGCAAAAAGTCCAGGAGGGTACAAACGTAGGCCACATATATTTAATACAACGACATGTTGTACGCACTTGCTACACACACAGCACATCGTAATTCCGTCCATCTGGAGAGGGCGACGAAGGAGTATGCGCGTGCATCAGTCGGAACTGGTCTCTTGCAGAGGACGACTGGAACGGCTCTACGCGTCCCAATGGATCGTCTGCGAGTCGACGCCATGCTGTCCACTATCCACCCTCGGCTGCCTGCCAATCGTCGTCCGCTTTTGTATGTAGAGAAAAGGACAACGCAGAGAGCACAACAACACCAGGGAATGTCAACGGGTCAACTGTTCAGACGAACGCAAGTTGGGAGAAGAAGCTGCACAAAGTGCAAAGCGACAACATGCAAGCCGTAAAAGACACCGCGTACTGGGCACTCCTTCTTGGCAACGCTGTGGCGTGTTACATCACAAAACACGGTCCTCAAATGGTGATGAATGTGCTGTGTTTTCATTTTTGGAAACCGGAACGCGCCGAAAGGCATAATCCCCCCCGGCATTGATTTTACGTATTGTACGTCTTTTGTCTCCCCCTCCAAATGCATTTTGTATGCTCCTTGCCCTTCCCCTTCTCTTCTTCCAGAGTAAAACGTACATGTGTATATACAAAAGTGGCGCATCAAAGGTGCGACGAGAAGCCTCCTCTTCGAATGCCGTTAAGACGATGGTATGGCGTTGGTCAGATAATGGTGTATATAAATCGACACGGTCGTCCGTGCCGTGGTGGAGAGGTGTGTTTTCTGTGTCGTCCGCTGCCGGCTCATCGTGCCAGCATCGTCCGTCGAGTATTGTTTGTCGAGCTCGCAGACCGGCTTAGTCGCTGCGTGTTGGCCGTGGCCGGTAGGCGGCGTCGGCCGCCATGATCCACGGTTTTTGTCGTGCGTGCATGTATGCCTGCTGCATCACCGGCGACGCGTCGCTGCGGATGACGCTGCCGATGGACATGAAGAAGCTGGCGAGTTAGCCTTTGCACAGCAGACTGAGATCCATTCGACGCCTACAAACGCCGCTTCCACCTACCCAAATGTCGCTCCTGATGCTGCCATGTACTGGCCCAGTGTGCGCATAATACCCGTCGTGCCGGCGCCGTACCGGAAGATGTTGACCGTGCCTGCGTCCGTGTTAGCTGTCTGTTCCAGTAAAGCTTGCCCTGCACAACCGAAAAGTATCTTGACATACCGTAGATGAAGCCAATGATACAGCCAACAGCTATACAAAGTCGGGTTAGCATGCCTCCTTCACTTCTTACATGGTCGCATGCCGAGTCCGGCGGGGTGTGGGCTGGGAAAACGTACTGCCGCCCATCATGGCACCCATCTTGACTGTAAACAGTTGTCAGCATGCGTCTCTCTCTCGATAGTATCCTCACACACTACCCCGGTTCCCAACGTACACTTGTCGAAGTTCGACGGGCCCGACATGCCAGTGTTCACCGGAACCGGCATTGTTGCTGGTGGGAGGGGCTGTAGTCGGAGGAGTGGTGGGCTGAAGGTCGATGTTTGGAGGTTTTGCTGCACGCGCGCTTGTTTTGTTGTCCTGCAACGAGGAACTGGCGGTGTCTCGAGACGTCGATGTCGCTTGGAAGCTCTCCTATTTTCTAGTCTGTGATTTTTCTTGTGTCGCTCTTTCCACACAACGCCGTCGTCCTATGTGAGCCTCGTTCTTTCCTGCAAATCGGCCGGTTCAACGCGGCACCCGTGACGGCGCTGTGCACGGACCACCTTGCTCCCCCCACAAGCAGCTTCAAGCCAATCACAGCCTGGTCGACGAAGATCACGTGATACGCATAACAAGATCCTACAGTACGGGGTGCACTGTGGACGAGTTTTAAGTAGAGCTGTTTAGGGGCAACAAGGGGCTGCTTTCGCAAGCTAGAAGCCGAGTGCCAAAGTTGCCAAAAGAGACAATCGTGTCACTTACGTTTGCTCGTGTATCAGCTTGTCACCTTTGACAGTTCATTTTTTCTACTCTACGGCTACTAACTACGCGTGACGTGCCTGCCTTGTATTCTTGCGCGGTCGATGAGGACACCTGCCTGCTTTATTTGGGTGCACAAAGAGAACGCGATGACGGAGAGAAAGAGGAGAGAAACAGGAGACGAAACGGTTGGATACTTAAAAAAGACAGCACGCGCCTTGCATCTCCGTAGCGGGCCAATTGCCTTTGATAGCGCTAAGCGCAGCAATTACAGGTGGGTCGGCCCTGGCGCTGTGGCGAGAACGCCCAGGACAAGGGGTATTTTTCTAGGGGCCAGCACACAGCGACGCAACGTAATCCGCACTGTCTTGTGGCTCTGGTACAGTGGAACCGCCCCCGTTCTTTCCCTCTCGCCCTTTCCTGGCGATCGAATGCTGCTCACGCCTCTCGTCACCTAACCGCAAGGGCCAAACGCCTCACCTATTTCACATTTGTTCAGTTTGGTGGTCAATCGACCTCGTCTCGACGCTCACCTCCCTCCTCGCCCTGCATCGCCTTCCGCCCTCGAGTCTCCCATCGGCTCCCGCGAATACACGTTATCTCGACCGTTTTCCATTTCTTCTTCGACAGCAGACGATATTGGCATTGTTTCCGACGCCCTCTGAGGCCGCGGATCCCGTGCGCCGTCGACCGTTTCTCTCTTCTTTCTTCTCATTTTTCTCTGGGGCCATTTCTCGACTCGATCTCGCATCTCTCTCGCAATCGTATACCCTCCACTCTTGTCGTTTTTATTGCTTTTGTCGACTCAGCGCGTGCCGTTGCTGTACGTCGGCCGTCGCGCTTTGAGAATCTCCGACGAGGTGCTTTTGTGTGTCGATTTTCTTTCTCGAAGCCGCCGTCGTTTTATTTGCTGCCTCGACACGGCCTTGTTACTCATCAGCATCGGTTGTTTGCTTTGGTCATATTGTTTTGCTTTTCTCCTACGGCAAGCTGTTTATCTGCACATATCCACTTTCGACCCCTATGCGAGCATCGACAGCCCTCCGCGACCTTCCTGCGCCAACTTGCGTCTTGTCTCTTTCTTGCATCGAGCTGAAGACAACGACGGCGTACAAAAGGGACACACGAGCTGAACGACCGACTTGATCGACGCGCCAGCTTCGTTGACGATCTCGGTCGTGACGACCCCGACGGCCGTATCGACGGTCGTATCGACGGTCTCCTCCCCCAACCGCGAAGCACGCGACCGTATCCTCCCTCTTTCACCCACTCCTCCTTCTCCTCCACGGTCTTTCACCGGCTCTTCACATGACTGCCGTTGCCAATCCGCCCAGCTTCGCCAACATCAACCGGCCGGCATGGGGTAGTGGCAGCCAAGCTCTCAACGGCTCCAGCAACCACGACGACGTCCGCAGCATGTTTGCGCCGCGGAAGTCCATGCAGCGAACCAACTCCTCCTCGTCCATCGCCTCCAACGCGTCCACCTCTTCCACAGTCACCGTCGTCTCGGCCAACGGGACACCGCCTGCTAACGGTGGACCAGTCGGTGGCTCTGCGGGCATCGGTAGCATCGCTGGGGGCGGCGGTCCCTCGTCGGCCGCTGGTGGTAACGACGCGAACGGCCTCCCTATCACAACGCTTCGTAAACGACCGCCTCAAAAAGCACAATGGTCGGCCAACAAGCAGGGTGAGCACCAGGCCGATTTTCTGCGCGGCGCCGGTGGTGCGGCTGCAGGACGCCAGCAAATGAGCGCAGGCCCCAACGGCGTGGCGTCCCTGCACCAGTTACCACCATTTGTCCCCGGAGGTCAAGCAGCGGCTGGTGCCGGGACGAACGGAACAAACGGTGTCATGGCTCGCCCACAAGGCGCCGAGGGCGCGTCCTCCCAAGCACAGCCTGTCCTGTACCTCGTATCACTGAACGGCACATTTGAGCGGAAGACGATCAGCGTGCCCTTTTTGCCCGACACACTCCGCATTGGTCGCCAGACCAATAAGAGCACGACACCGAACACGGTGAACGGCTTCTTTGACAGCAAAGTGTTGTCGCGGCAGCACGCTGAGATCTACGCCGATCGCCAAGGCACCATCTGGATCCGTGATATTAAGTCGTCCAACGGAACCTTTGTGAATGGCACGCGCTTGTCAGCCGAGAACCGCGAGTCCGAGCCACATGAGCTGCAAACGAACGACCACCTTGAGCTCGGTATCGACATTGTGAGTGAGGACCAAAAGTCGGTCGTCCACCACAAGGTTGCCGCCAAGGTCGAGCACGCCGGCTTCATCAAGACGTCCAGCAATATTATGGATATGAATTTTGGCGACCTCGACCCGGCCAATGGCGCCGTGCTGGGCAACCAGCTCAACGGCATGCTGTTCCGCGGGCGCACGGGCAGCCAGGCCTCGCTGGGCCCGGCCGGCCGCATGGCACCCACATCCAACATGGCTGCTGCCCAGAATAATGGCCTGGCGTTGCAGCGCGGCCTGTGGCTCACAGGGCCCTCGACCGAAGCCATCGTCAAGAAGATTCACGTAAGTTTTGTTGTTCACGCTCACAATCCATGGCAGTCTTTTGCTGTCAATCGCTAACAACCATGCAGCAAGAGATGCGCAACGCAAAGCAACAATCACAAGACCTCTTACGTACTCACGAATTCATCCAGACCCTCTTATCCAAAGACGACATCCGCAACGAACCCAACCCCATGACCGATGCCGTAGCGACAGATCCGCTGTCCGCCGCATCAAGGCAGCAGCCACTGCAGCCCATCTCCAACGGCAACAACAGTATTTCGTTCCGCGCCGATCCCAAGGCGCGGTTCTCCGACCCGCCCGCACCGCCACCACAACAGCCGTTGCCCGAGAAGCCCGATGTACCATCACTGAAACGTGGCTCAACAGAGCGACCCAAATCCGGGTCGGTTGGCCCTGCGTCCGGTGCCGCAAACAACACGTCACCAATCCGGACCGACGTCATGGGCCAGGTTCTCCAGCTGACCGACGCGCTCAACACGGCCAAGCGCGAGATCAGCACACAGCATACGCGGTTGCGTGAGCTCGAAGAGCAGCTGCACCATGAGCAAGAGGCGCGCAAATATGCCGAGGAGCTGACACAGCAGCTGGAGATCATGTCTGTGTCCAAACCGACGACCGGTGTCGACACGGCTGCTCTGGCGGCCGTTGCAGCGCCGATAATGAACGGTACGGCCAAGGGCGCTACGGCGCTGGAGACAGCTTTGGGCGAGCCCGCAGCATCGCTCAGCAAGGACGTTACCGGCAAGTCAATGCGTGGCGCGAAAGGCACAGAAGCCTCCGCTAGCAGTGATGACGATGAGGAGGACGACGACGACGCTGAAAAGGACGATCACGACAGCAAAACGGACGCCGCGTTCCGCGCCCGGATCGACTCTATGATGACGGAAATGGAGGGCATGAAGCGCCAGCTGCAAGCCTTCCAGGAGCGCGCCGAAAAGGCCGAGGCCGAGCGGGACGCCGACCGCGAGACGCTGGCCCAGATGATCCAACGCATCCGCCAGCGAGACGAAGACGACGCCAAGGCAGCCGCCGAAGCTGCTGCGGCATCCTCCGCAGCCGCATCAGCACTGGCTACGGGCCAGTCGGCATCCGTAGCTGACACGACAACCCAAGGCGACGCCGGGCCCACCTCCACTTCGCAGTACATGTCGGGTGGCCGCGGCCTGGACGCCACGTCAGCCACCGACGGTCCGGTGGACGCCCCAACCACGGCCCCGACCACCAGCGGCCGCGACGCGAGACGCAATGGTGCTACCAGCAACAGCAGCAGCAGCAGCAACAGCAACAGCAGCGGTCCTCTGTCGCGGTCGAAGCAACAGCCAGCGGGCGGCGCCGGCGGCGGGCACGATGACAATGGCCCCGACGGTGCATCGCTCTCCCGCAGCAACACCATCACGCCCGCCTCGCTCGGCAGCAAGGTCACCACCAAGGACAAGGGCGGCGCCGCCACGTCCCACGACGCTGCTGTGCTGCACGGCATTCCCTACGCATCGATGGTGGGTGTCGTGCTGATCGGCATGGGCCTGATGGCGTACCTAAACGGCTGGCAGCCAGCGCCCGGCCGCCTGGATCGGTAGTGTGCCGCCGCCAGTATTGTTGGCATTCCTTCTTCTCCCTTTTGCGTCCGTCTTTTGTTTCTGGCATGTGATGGCGTGCGTTTTTTTTGGCGTGATGCGTGTCTCCATATTAGATACTGGCTCCTTCCTTTTTGATGCATCTCCGATGTGGCTGCATCGTTTTGCCTGCCGGCGTGTGGATTTTTTCCTCCTTTTTGACTCTGTTTACTTTTCATCCTTGCCTGATCAGGAGGCGTTTGGACCCAATATTTTGAGTGTATTTTTTATTTCGTCTCTTTTCTCTCATCATTGGTGTCTCATTGCCTATTCCTTTTTCCGTGGTTTTGTTCATTTTGTTCTTTTTTTCTCATTTTGTCATTTTCTTCATCCTCTTTCTTTAGTTCATTGTGTCTTATTCTCTCGATTGACCGAACCAAAACTACATATTTCATTAGCGGAGAATACATATGGTTAATTCCCACATCATCGACTGGAATTATGATAGCACGGACAGCATCTGCTTTGCAAGTAGTGAAAAATCGAGCAATGCGTGGGCTGTTTGACGTTCGTGGCATGGCTGTATGACTCTTTATTCTAGAAGTAATGTAGATCTGGATATGCAGCGTCTCGCCCAACGAAAGAAACGAGTAATGAACTTTTATATGAAACCTCATGCGCCAAAAATTCCACAACCTAACCAAGAAAAACGTGTCATAAAACGAATAAAAAGAGAGTAGATCTCCACAGCATGGCCTACACCTCTACACCTCCGACCACAGCCGCCGCAGCTCGGTCAGCGCAATAAAGATGGCCTCGTCCGTCCGGATGCTGCGGTTGCCCTGATTCGGCAGCACGTCCACCCAGTGGTCAAACGCCTCGCGCACATTGGCCACCTTGATGCCGACACTGCTCAGCTCGCCGTCGTTCATGGCCGCGTACTCGAGACCCCGCGGGCCGCCAAAGACAATCACCAGGTGCTCAAACGCAAGCGAGGGCGGGTCGGTGGCGGGCGTCGCGGCTCGCGGAAAGACATGGGAGGCCGGGTCCCCGCGCTCCGACGTGCCAATGCTCACGTCGTAGCCGCCCTCGTAGGGCGCCTCCGTGAAGACGCCCGACAGCGACGAGCACCGGCGGATCTGGAAGCCCCAGTAGTAGCCGGCTTCGGTGCGGGGCGCGGCCGGGTCGACGGGCGAGGCGCCGTCAAAGGACTCGTGGGGGAAGTGCAGCGTCAGGCGGGTCTTGGGCGGGATGGCCTCGGCGATGGACACGGGCTTGCGCAGGCCAATGTCCACCAGGGTCTTGTGCGCCGGGTTGTCGGGCTTGCCGGGCAGGCTCAAGCCCTCCATGTAGGGCAGCTGCTCGTCGCGGTGGGGGTGGTGGGGCATCTCGAGGGTGGGCAGGAGGCCCTGGAGGCGGAGATTGGGGTGCAAGGGGAACAGGGTCTTGCGCATAAAGGGCGGCGTCTCCATGTAGGAGAGCAAGTGGAAGAGATAGTGGCCCGGGTCGGTGTCGCCGGTGTAGGCATCGTGGTCGACGGCGGGCGGGCGGCTGTCGAGCGGGCTGTCGTCAAAGATGACGACCTCGTCGATGGAGAAGATGGCGAGGGCACGGGCGATGCGCGAGGGAGCGTTGATTCTCTGCTCGGATGTTGAGCAGCTGGAAAGGGTCAGCAACGGAGACGAGGAGGAGAAGATCGGCCGTAGTTGGCGAAAGATGCGCAGACTCACTCAGACAGGAGACTCGTCGGGATGGCTACAGAGACGGTGTAGCTGCGGCCGCCCAGAGGCATGAAGCGTGTCGAGGGCTTGAAGGTGTTGTCGCCCTCCACCTTTCGCCGCTGGTAATTGTTAGTCAAGAGCAGTGACGGGGGGGAAGACAAGCCGACGAGGCTGCGTGGGTGCCTACCTTGAAGCCGTCGCCGTACGACATGGTCGGCGCGATGTGTAAGGTGCGTGTTGCAACGTGCAGCGAGATGGGAAAATACTCAGTGCCTGGATCAACTTGTCACTCGCTGCTTCGTACGTCCTCGAGCAGAAACGTCGTCACGCTTCGACGGCGGTTCTTGCCTTCTTTCTTCTTTGCGCCAAACTAAACTTTTTGTCGGTAGAGAATTGAAAGGTCGGCAGAATGGGCAGTGGCCACTGACCGCCTTCTATTTTGGGCGCTGACATGCTGTTGGTAGGAGGGGGAAATGGCCAGCACGCCTGATTTCCAAGCCAATTTATTCCTTATTCCAGGGTGCTGTGCCGCTGTCCGCTGTCCGGCGCCTGCCGCCTGCCGCCTATTACCAACACGTTTCCTCTCCCAACATCGACGACATTTCCATTTCTCACGACGCCATTTCTCGCGACGCTTCACACCACGCACACTCCGCCAGCCGGGTTCTACAGGCAACGCTGACAAACACATTCAAAATGACGACGAAGATCGGCTCGACGACGCAGTGGCGCCAGGTCACCAGCGCGAACAGCATCGTTGTGACGGACTGTAGGTTCCCCGTTCTCCCCGTTCTCTCCGTTCTCCCCTGTCTGTACCTATGGACGTTCATCCACTGACACACATCAGTCTACGCCGACTGGTGTGGTCCCTGCAAGATCATCGCGCCGACATTCGACTCCCTCGCCACCAAGTATGCCAAGCCCAACCGCATTGCGTTCGCCAAGGTCGATGTCGACAACCAGCGCGAAATCGCGCAGCAGTACGGCGTGCGTGCCATGCCCACGTTTGTCATTCTTCGCAACGGCTCGGTCATCGACACGATCCGCGGCGCCAACCCGCCCGCGCTGACGTCGGCCGTCGAAAAGGCCGTCAAGCTGGCGACGGGTGGCGGTGCCAGCTTCTCGACGCCCGGCCGGACGCTCGCTTCGAGTGGCGGCGGCAGCAGCACTGCGACCGGCATCCGGGTCGGTGGAGGCTCGACGACCGGCGGCGGCCCCATCCAGGGCCGCTCGGGCTGGTTCGATTTGCGCAAGGTTTACAGCTTCTTGACCATGTTCATTGGCCTCTACCTTACGTCGTTGTTTTCGGTGGGTTCACTTCGCCCCGGTTTCTCTTCGCCTCGGTTTCTTGTGGTGCCTCCTGCTAATCGTGTAGCTCGACCCATACATGTCGGCCAAGAACTCCAAGTACGCCGCCGGCCAGCCGACAGCGCCCATCCGCGTGTCGTCGGGCGCGCCGTTTGGCGGCCGCCAGTTCGTCCCCGTCGGTGCTGGCCAGTTTGGGCCGCTGGGCGGTCCCTCGGGCACCGGCCGGGTGGACAGCCCGTCGACATCGTCATCACAGCCGAGCAGCAGCAGCAACAACAGCGGCAAGTCCAAGTCGACCTTCAAGACGTTGGCTGACCTGGGCTCGGAGTAGACAAGTAGGGTGCGTGATGTGCCGTGGTCGGCTCTCCCTATGTCTTTTGTTTCCTTTTTTTTTCTTCTGTCAGTTGTTTGGGCGCCTGGATCTCTTAACCACGCCTGTTTAAACAGAGTTCTTTACCTGCATTGTCACATTCTTTTCAGACGCAGCCTTTATTTCTGGATTTATTCACCTTGATTTGAATACTTATTTTGATTCACTTCTGATCCTCACGCAAGCAACCGAATGCAACATCAACGAATAACAGATATAGAATAACTATTGTGGTGAAAGGAATAGAACTTCAATATGTTGTACTACAAGTAAGAGCAGGTCCTTGGCCCCTAATAGAATAATACAGAAGGCGACCCGCCTAGAGTTGCAGAAAAGCGGGCCAGCCGCGAACTGACCCACAATTTTCAATCTCTGCACTATGATTTGCCATCCAACACTGACTTTTTTAACTCTTTTGGCAAGTCCACTCCTCGAAACTTTTGGAGCTGTTTTTGTCTTTGTTTTTCGACGCCTCGTTTTCCACAACACGAATTGTCGCCCGTTCTCTCCTCACAAGGCCACCCGCCATGTACAAAGCAAAAGAGCTCCAGCGGGCGTGTCCGCGGAGCCAAGCATGGCTGCGACAAGCACTTGCGAGCGGCCTGATTGGCCCCGACAGCCAAATCACAAAAGGCGTCGCCTCGACGAGCACGCGATGGTGGACGGCGACGGCAAGACAACGGCCGGCCCAGCAGCAGCGGCGGCCCTCGAAACAGTCGCAGTTGCGACCCTTTTCGACGTCACGGACAGCCCGTCAGCACGAGAGCCAGCCAGACGCCGCGGCCAACACTGTGCACGAAGCCAAGACGGAATTCGAGACGCAGTCGCCCGCCGACATGGAGAAGGTCGTGCGCGAGGCACGCGCTACGTTTGGCGACACGCTGCCCGAGGACTTTCTGAGCGACGAGGAGTACTCGCTGTACCAGCGGCTGTACGGCACACCGCTGCGCCAGACGCAGCCCGAGGACGTGGGCATCCCGGATGCTGTGGAACGGCAAGAGAAGAAGAGAGAGAGCATCCAAGATTCGCCGCTGGCGAGCCTGGTCCGCGAGACCAAGGACGGCAATCTGGAGGTGCAGTTTGTGTACGACGCCAACGTGACGACGGTCAAGGGGGGCGAGCATGACGATGCCAACGCCAACCCAGACGCCGAGGCCCAAGCCCAGGCCCAGGCCCAGGCCGACAACGACTCGACGGGACAGGTCGCCAGCCAGCCAGCGACAGCAGATCCAAACGTCAAATACATCCAGGCTCGTGCACGCAGCGAGCGCCAGTACGTTGCCCTGACCAAGCTGCAGCGCGACTTTGAGGCGGCGCGGATCGTGGCAGAGCAGGAGGACAGGCTGCGGGCGGAACAAGACCAGCAAGACGAGGTCTCGGGAACGGCCATTGACGAGGAGGCCGACCTCGTGGAGACGTTTGACGAAGCATACGAAGAGGCCGAGGAGGACGACGACCTAGACGACGAGGACGCGTCGGACGCCGGCGGCCGGCCCCGTCTGCGCCGCATCCACCCACTCACCGAGCGCGGGCGCTCGCGCACTGTCCCGCGCACCATCCAGCTGCCCAAGGCCAGCTTCGTCGAGCCCATTACCGAGCTCCTCAAACGCGCCCACCACCGGCATCTCCAGCAATCCGCGTTCAAGGTCTTTGGCGGGCCCGACTTGCCGCACTCGCCGCGCACCGTCTCGACGCCCACGACCAAAAAGCGCGGCCGCGCTACCTACGCGCAGCTGCCTGTGGCCATGGAGGCCGGCCAACGGACCATGCGCGACATTGAAGCGGACGCGTACCTGGCGGCCGTGCTGCCCTTTGTGTATGCGACGGCCACGAGCACGCTGGTCGAGGTGCGGCGGCGCCTGGGCTCGGCCTGGATCGAGAACCTGATTTCCAAGGCCGACGGCAGCAACCCGCGCGTGCTCGACGTGGGCGGCGGCGGCGGCGCGCTGGCGGCCTGGAACACGGTGTTCCGCGCCGAGCTGGCCGCGCTGCGTGAGCGCGGCCGACTCCCCGAGCGTCAACTCGAGGAGGCCGAGGCTGGACTGGCCCAGCTCGAGCTGGCCGCCGACGAGGCGGACCAGGCCAAGGCCAAGGGCCAGCTGGTCAAGGCGCGCCCGACCAAGAGCGCGCTCGCCAAGCGCCGGCGCATGGAGCGCACCGTCGTCGTCGGGTCGGACGAGCTGCGACTCCGTCTCTCCAAGTTCCTGCACGACACCACCTTCTTGCCGCGCCTGCCGGACCTCCTGCACTCGGCCGAGAACGTCGACCGCCACCTGGACGCGCCCGCCACGCCGCACCCCGAGGGCCGCAACAAGCGCAAGACGTACGATGTCATTATTGCGAGCCACCTGCTGCTGCCGCACGACAGGCCGCACGAGCGCCACGCCGTTGTCAGCAACCTGTGGGCGCACCTCAACCCGGACGGCGGCGTGCTGATTATCCTGGAAAGAGGCCATCCGCGCGGCTTCGAGGCCGTGGCGGATGCCCGCCAGCAGATTCTGGACAAATTCATGGCGCCGCCGTCGCAGGGCAAACGTGCGGCGGATGCTGACCCACCGGACGACCTGACGACGACCGCGGACGAGGTGCTGGTGCCCAAGCGCGACCCGGGCATGATCGTGGCGCCCTGCACGAGCCACGGCAAGTGCCCCATGTACCTGACGGCCGGCGTCTCCGAGGGCCGCAAGGACTACTGCCACTTTAGCCAGCGCTTCAACCGCCCGCCGTTCCTGCAGCGCATTCTGGGCAGCTCGCACCACAACCACGAGGACGTTGAGTTCACGTACGTTGCCGTGCAGCGCGGCACGCAAAAGGCCGAGGTGCTGCAGGACCGCGCCCCCGTCGAGAGCGCGCTCTCGAATGCAGCGGACACCGATGGGCTTCCTCTGCTGCCGCCGACGGCGCCCCTCGTCCAGGGCAAGGAGGCCACCGACGCCGCCTTCCGGGGCTTCGAGAACGTCTGGTCGGCCGACGCGAACGCTCCGCCGCCGCCCGCCGATGCCGTCAGCCCCCACCCGCTCGCGCTCCCGCGCACCATTATGCCCGCGCTCAAGCGCCAGGGCCATGTCATCCTGGACGTCTGCACCCCGGCCGGCCAGCTCGAGCGCTGGACGGTGCCCCGGTCGCGCAGCAAGCAGGCCTACCACGACGCCCGCAAGGCCCGGTGGGGCGACCTCTGGGCGCTGGGCGCCAAGACGCGCGTGCCGCGCAGCGTGCGCCTGGGCCGCCAGACGAGCAAAACGACGCGCACGATTGACGTCGGCTTGGACGGGTCGGGCGAGGTGGTGGCGCGCGAGCAGCAGCCGTCGGTGGCCAACAAGACGCGCCACCGGCAGCGCGACCGGGCCGGCAAGTTCCAGGGCAAGGCGCGCAAGGTGCGCCAGAGCCGGCAGCAGCAGGCCGACACGCTTATGAAGGAGCTCAAGGAGTCGGTGTTTTCTGCGCCGTAAGGCGGGGAGACCGACGGTGGCAGACGGACTCGCGACGGACTTGCGACAGCTTCTGCTTCTGGACCTTTTTTGTATACCCATCTCTCAACTCTTGCCATATGCATGGCCATATACTGTATATACATCGCGGGGAGATCCGCTGTACGATACGATACTACTGTATAAAAGAAGAACTGGCGATGTATGCCTACTGGATGCATGCGTACCGCTGCCGTGAGAAGCTTGATTCAATGTCAATGTTTTAGTGGTACGAAGAAAGTAGAGACGGAACGCGGCATCTGTATGGCCGTCTCTGCAGCCTTGCCGATCCGCCAAAACGGGTTAGTCTAGCCTCACCACTTACACGGTCACATCACCGTACATTCTTAATCTGCAGGTGAGCAAGTTTGAGCATTTTCCACGAGCCAAGTCGCCCCTCCATCCTACCGAACGGAACAAAAGCCACAGGGAATACAATTCTCAACTATCTAAATTCGTTCTTTTATTGCTTGTAATGCCGACTCTGTGAAGAGGTGAGAATAGTCTAAAATCCAAATGCTTGACGAGTTAAGAAAGCTCTTCCGACCCATGTTTCGGCGTCACCATTACCACAGCCTGCCAATCTGCACTCCTACTTCGCTGTCTTCTTTTTCTCTCAAGGCAACGGCGTTGCCAAGGATCGTCACGGCCGATTTGTCTCCCAATGTCCGGGTCATCGGGTTTGCATCTGCATGTCGTCTAGCCGCAGCACCCCGGTGCCTCCAAGTTGGTATTGTTCTTGCCAGCAGGCGAGCTACTGCGGATGTTAGAGGAACAGTTATGAAGACAACAAAAGGACAGCGGTACATCGTAAGGAGAAACTCACTCGCCAATGGGCTCCCAGTTGAAGACGAAGCTGCCGAGAAAGGCGCCGATGAGAATGCAAATGATAAAGTAGCCGTTGTAGTACATGGCCAGCAGCATGACAAAGTAGCCCACGCCAAACTGCAAGACGAAGAGGACCGAGCGGATCATTTGTTGCAGGACGCTGGGCCGGAAGGCGGGCGCACACGGGCCACACTCGGTGTTGGTGACCATGGGGCTCAGCGGGCTCGCTTGGCTTGCCTGGTGGCTTGGGTCGGGCTTGTCGCCCACCTTGCTGCTGTCCGCACCGTTCGCGGCGCGGTGCTGGCGCACGAGGTAGCGGTCATACTCGCGGCCGGCACGGCGGAGCATCAGGAGCGACATGGTCAGCAAGACGACGCCAATGCAGGAGCCGGCAAAGACGCCGCGCGAGGTGATGCGCCAGGATCGCGCGATGAAGCAGGCGCCGACGGTGTTCCAGTTCCAGAGCATCTATTGTCTTGTTAGATGTGCCCGAAAGTGGGGGCCAACAATGCGACAACGCAAAGCAAGCGCAGCGAGGAGACAACTTGCCGAAATCTTGCAGCTTTTGCCGCCCATGGCGCCCATGGAGTGGCCACCAGCCATGCCAGCCATGCCAGCCGTGGCTGTCGGGGTGGCCATCGCGGTGGTCGTTGTGGCCATTGTCATGTCCATGGTGACTTGAGGTTGAGTGAAACGCTGGGTTGTCGGTGTGGTGAAGAGACGAGATGTGCGAGGGCGACACAGAAAGACGATGCGATGGAGTCATATCCTTGCTGCATCGTCGTCGGCGGATGCCAGAGCATTATATATTATATACGGAGCCCGCCAGTACAAAGTACTGGATGCCAAGAGGAGGAAAATCTCGACAAACGAGATCAACCACGCCAGAACCACGCCAGGGCCACGTCAGGGCCACGCCAGAGCCGTAGCGCCATGAAAACGTACGGTGTAGAAAATCTGCAGATGTGAGAAAGATTCGGTGTATGAGGCCATTCAACAAAGGGCACTTTTTGGGCATTTTTGGGACACTTTTCCTCGGTCGTCGGGCAAATATGTGCTGACAGGACACTTTTTAGCGAAATGGAAGGCACGGCGGACACTTGGCGCGGCGTGGCATTCATGGCGTGAGCAATTTTGCGGAGACCGGCGCCTGGAACGGGGTCGGCAGGAAGGAGGCAAGGGAGCAAGGGGGCCGGCGGGCTCGAAAATGAGCATATTTTCATGGTTGTGCCTTCCGGTCTTGGAGGGTGTCGGCTCTACTGCATTTTGAATCTTGCTCTTTCCGTTTTGGTCCATGAAAGTAGGACTTTTTTGGGCGAGGGAAGAGCGACCGTGATACGAGGCTGCAAAACGTCAACACAAGGCAAGACCCCGTCAAAATGGAAGGAGCACGAGGGCAATGTCTTGGGAAAGGGAAAGAACGTCAAAAAGCTGGATGGATGTAAAATCTCCGACTGGATCACAACATTATTACGTACAACCTGCGCAGAGCCTGGCCAGAAGAGCCTGGCCAGAAGAGTCGAGAAGAAGGCGAAAAGAACTTTTGGCATGGGCTTTCACCGCCGTACTTTGTTCCCATCCCGTTTAATGCACGCAATCTTGCTCACCGGACAGCACAATCCCCATTCCGCGACTGGGACAATGCTACCCAAACAGCCATCCCAGGACACGGCAGGCAAACGTCGGCAAGCAACAGCACCCGGCACCAATAAGGGCCGTCTATTTGCTCCGGCAGAGAAGGAAGGATGGCGTTCTTCGTGCATTGTCAAAAGGAGCTGTGGCTGAAAAGACGAGCACATATCGTGGGGTACCGGATGGCAGAAGCAGCGTCACATTGGACGGTGATATTGGCAGCAACACGCGACGTGCAGTTGTTTTCCAAGGTCTTCGTTCATATGGCTTCGATAGTATACCACCCTCTCGGGACCCTTGATCGTCGAGTGCCGTAAACCGTCTGTCAGACGGTCAGACGGTGACGTCCATAAGAAGACGCTATGGGCCGCTCGAAGTGCTAGACGAGGCGGGCAGATCTCATCCTCGTCTTTTCCTGCTTCTCCATCGACCTCGTCCATCGACATATTCAGAGTTCACACCGACAGCGGTTGAAGCAATACGGGTAAACAACACCAGTCATGGCCGCCAACACCCCGGCAGAGCGGCGGCAGGCCTCGCGCTTCGCAGCGACGATCGTTGTCATGCTGTCCCTCCTGCACGCGACCGCTGCCTTCAACGCTGGTGCGCTCACCGGCGTGCCAGCGAACAACTACGACCCCTACTGCGCCATGGCGTGTATTCGTTCACTCAACGGGCTTTTGCTGAGCTGTTCGAGCACGCAGGGCAGCGGCGGCATGATCGGCATGGTGGGTTTTGCGACCTCGTCGGCATGCTGGGCTAGCGACACGCCGTATCTGACGAGCCTGGCCTACTGCATGACGGTCCAGTGCGCCGTCGACGAGTTCAGCCGCGGCGAGGACATTCCGGCCTCCAAGCTCGAGTGGTTCTGGGAGACGGAGGCGACGGGCCAGATCGCGGCGGGCGCGCCCACGGTGACGCCCAAGTGGACGTACGCCCAGGCACTGGTCGAGGCGCAGGCGGTCGTGTCGAATGCGTCGGCCAGCGGCGGCCTGCCTGCGCTCGCGGCCAATGCTACATGGCTCAACACGACGTCGCTGGTGTCGCCGGCCGTCTACCGCGCGCAGTGGAACGTTCTGGTCGCCGTGCAGGAGGAGACGAGCAAGGAGAACAGGTACGGCATCGCCTTGTTGTCCGTCGGGGTGCTTCTGCCCATCGTCTGCACGGCCCTCGCCAGCAGCAGCCTGGTGCCGTCGTCCGTCCACCGGCTCGTGCACCGCCTCAAGCCGCACCTCGTCTGGCCCAGCACCATGGGCACGTACAGCGTGCGGCCCTTGCCCTACGGCCTCGGCAATGCACCCACGCGCGGACAGGCCCTGTACATTGGCCTGTTTGTCGCTCTCAACGTCGTCCTGACGTCGGTCAACTACCGCGCGCGCCAGCCCAGCGCCTGGTTCCTCAACACAAGCCGCGAGATCGCCGCGTACATCCTGTACCGCACGGGCGAGCTGGGGTACATCCTGCTGCCGCTGGTGTTTTTGTTTGGCTCCCGCAACAACGTCTTGCTGCTGGTGCCCGGCGCCGCCGGCTGGAGCCACGCCACGTACCTGGTGCTGCACCGCTGGGTGGCGCGCGTGTTTGCGCTGCAGGCCATCCTGCACTCGGTCGTCGGGCTCGTGCTGTACAAGCTCAACGGCGTGTACGATGCGGAGTCGGTCAAGCCCTACTGGATCTGGGGCATCGTGGCCACGGTCATGGTGGTCCTCCTGACCTTTGGGCTGAGCGGGTCCTACGCGCGCGCCTGCGCCTACGAGCTGTTCCTGGCCGCCCACGTCGTGTTCTCGGCGCTGCTCATCGTCGGCTGCTGGTACCACGCGTACGACCTGTACAAGTTCTTGGGCGGCGTGGTGGATTTCCTCTATGCGGCCGTGGCCGTGTGGTTCTTTGACCATGCCCTCCGCGTCCTGCGGGTGGTCGGCTTGCTCGGCGCGCGCCGGGCCCGTGTCACGGAGCTCGGCGGCGCCAGCGACATTGTGCGCGTCGACGTGCCCGGGGTGCGCTGGACGAGCTTTGATGCGCTGGGCAAGCACGTCTACGTATACCTGCCGACGCTGACACCGTGGCGGCCGTGGGAGAACCATCCGTTCTCGATTGTGCCGACGGCGCTGGTGGGGCGTTCCGGCCTCGGACAGTCCGTTCGAGGCAGCGACGACATGGAGAAGATGGGCAGCCTGGTCCAGGCGGTGGCGGTCGACGGCGCGTCTTTGCCGTCTCGGTCGGGGCCAGCGTCTGTCTCGGCGGCGACAGCCAGCTCGGGGCCCGGGCCCGGGCCCGATACAGCCGGCGTCACTCTCTACATCCGCCGCGCCAACGGCGCCACGCACCGCCTCGCCGCCCACCCGTCACTCTTTGTTCTGCTGGAAGGCCCCTACGCCAACACGGGCACGGCGACGGCGACGAATGCGCTCCTGCGCTGCGACCGCCTGCTGCTCATCGGCGGCGGCATCGGCATCACGGCGCTGCTGCCCTACCTGGCGTGCCACGCGAATGCCAAGCTGGCCTGGAGCCTGCGGGAGGCGGCACGGCCCCTGCTCGACGACCTGTCGGCGCTGCTGGACGCCCGCGGCGACGTGGACGACATCCGCGTGGGCCGTCGTCTGGATGCGGAGCAGCTGCTGGCCGACGAGGCCGGTGCCGGCTGGGGACGCATCGGGGTGGTCGTGTCTGGGCCCGGCGGGCTCTGCGACAGCGTGCGGGCCCGTGTTGTGGACCTGGCCAAGGCGACGCCCGGCACGACGTTTGAGCTGGAGGTGGAGGCCTACTCGTGGTAGCTGACACCGACGGGCGATGCCGATCGGATTTGTGCCTTCGTTCACGATGTTGGCTTATTCAGAATTCAGAAGTTCTCTCAATCACAAACGTACGGAGAATGCCGTCGCAGGTCTTAAAATAGACTGCTCTTTGTCCTCACTTGCCCTCGTGACGCAACAGAATGCTGGTGTGTTGTACGTCTTGGGGTTAGACAGGCGGACTACAGGACTAGGACTAGGACTGGGACTAAGGACTATGGACAACCGGGCCGCAGTGTGAAGCTCGCCAGTACGACGTACGGTGTAGGATATACGGCAGATATACGAGGACAGCTGTGGTCCAACTTGCGTTTAACATTGTTCCCTGCGTGATGGTACAAAGGCAGCTGACAATCAGCGAGGCACTGCCGACACCACCATGGGAGGATACCGCTGTCAGCCATAACCCGTGGTTTGTAAGACATTCCCAAGTGGCGATGCTGTGCCATTTCAACAAAGAGGGCGTCCCAGTCGGGTAACTCGGAGAGAAAGGACCTCTGCCGTTGACGCCCGGTGATCTTATCTCATCAAGCCCTGCACGGATGCGTGGTCAGCCCTGGTTACGTCCTGACCACTCTGCTGAGCAAGCACGATGACTGTCCCTCGTAAGAGGCAAAAAAAAAAAGAAAAGAAAAAAGAAAACACTACTCCGCCTACATTCGTGGCTTGTCATACTTCATCGTCCTTGTGCCCAATGCAAGATCCGCACTCGTAACGGCACGTCGTTTTTCTCCAAGCGCATGTTCTTGCCCTGTTTGTTCTCGACCCTGACCGGCTTTTGTTTGTTCTGTCCCTTGCCCCAGTCCCCGTCCCCTTGTTTTTTCTTTGTCGAGTCTTGTCCGGTTCCGGCATAGCCAGGGCCAGGGGACTTGGCTTCCCTCCAAGCGCCCAGCTTTGTTAAACTTTAACGCCAGTGTGCCGCCGATCAAGTTGTGCTTCGTGCTTTGTATGTCGAAACGACCAATTCGATCAGCCGCGTCGACATGGTCTTGTTCCGCGCCTCCTTTTCTACAAAGTGTTTACCAGTTCATATGCCCTCTCTACGATTATGTGCCTTCATTTCATTCTGTTCTTTGCTCGCCCAGCCCGGCTGGCCAGCGCCAAGAGGCAGAAGAACGCACAAGGGAAGGATGCAGCGGAGCGACTGGCCATCGCGGCGGGTCAGCATCGGTGAGAACTCTCAGCAGCCGTCAGCACTATGCAGGCCCAATGCTCCGCCCATGCCAGAACAAATAAAGGATATCCGATGGGGGAAGGCAACTGGGCGAGGAAAAGGACAGCCGTGACCTTGTTTTTTGGCCAAAGGCCTTCGTCCACCCAGGCAAACAAACTCTCGACAAAACGAAAGCACAATTTTGGCAGCCAAAGAGCCAAGAATCAATCTCAGCCGCATCCACTCTGGATGGCCATCCTAGACCATCCGGATCCCCCTGGCCATCCTCTGCCAACAGTTCCCTGCTGCATGCTGCACTGCGCTGTGCAAACCGTTGGTGTGATTCGCCTGGGATGCGCCGGTCGTGGGCGATCCTTTCCTTGGTATTTCTGCTTTCTGTCCCGTTTGGTCGTTTGTCTCTCCTCTTTTTGGCCTCTCCGTGCATGGCCTCAACTTATCACATCACGCTGCAGCTGTATTCTGTATTGTCTGTTGCAACGGCGTGTTCCGTCCTCGACTGCCACCTCGCCACGCTCGACCTTCCGGGCCATGTGTTGAACCGCACGAATCACATTGTCGATAGCATGCAGGCCGGTATAGCCACCCCCCCTGTGATCCTCGGCGTGGCCTGCGAATCGGCCAACAAGCTGCAGTCGACGTCGTCTTGGTGGGTTTGGGTTCTGTTGCTCTTTTCTCTTTTTGCGCTTCTCTTCTGTTTGACCAAACTTTGAACTCCTTTGAACTCCTTTGAACTCCTTTGAACTCCTTTGAACTCCTTTGAACTCCTTTGAAAGCCGCCTTCGCTGTGATTTGACGCTCGACGTATCTTCGTACTCCACGTCTACGAGAATTGCCGCCGCATCTGTTGCTTCGATCCTTTGCCAAGTTGTGCCTTTCGTCCTCCACATGTGTGTTCCTTCGACCCTCTCATCTTGCCGCGTAACGCCATCCCACACCTGTCAGCCCCATCCGCTGCCACCCCGACGAGCCAGAGGATTCCCGCAGTTCGCATTTCCCTGCTCGCATTTCTCTGGTCCTTGGCTTCGTGTCGGGATTCGTGCTTCTCGTGGGTTGCATTGGCATTCGGGCGGCTGGGCCTCGCGCCTCCCCTGTGCGACTGTCTGTCTGTCTGTCTGTCTGTCTGTCTGTTGGCATTTGCTGTGTGCTTTTGCGTTTCTGCGCTTTTGCTTGTGTGCGCCGGTCCCTCGTACACCCCTACCGCAGAACCAACCGTCGGCGGTCTGGCCGTGGTTCACAAGGTTTCTTATGGGGTTTCCTTCTTTCCTTCTTATTAGTTCTCACTGCTCCAACCCCATATTTCTTTGTTTCCCGAATCTCTCTTTTTGTTTCTGTGTCTTTTCGTTTCGTTTCATATTCTAAACTCTGCTTCTTTTGTTTTCTTTATCTCGACGTCTTTGACCTCGACACCGGCCTCTTTCGTCGACCACCATCCCAATGTCGCTGTCGCTATAGTCAAATAAATCAAAGCTGCATTTGTTTTTTACAGCATGATATAAGCCTACTTTGACCCGACTTTACCGCGAGCCTTCCTCTGGCTTTCTTGAGCTCATAGTCTCTCCATTTATTTACCGTTCCGCAAGGAGCCCGAGAAACAAACATCACGACACATCTCTGCCGTCGACAAACAAAACACGTATTGCCCACCACAACCCTTACCTCACGGTTTTCACCACTCTGTTTCCACCGCCATGTCCGCCCCCTCCGTCGCCCTCGTCGTGTCGCTGGCACTCCTCACCGCCGACGCCCTCATCGAGCTCGGCTTCATCACCAGCATGGTGTCGTACCTCCACGCCGGCGCCCCCTCCGGCACCTTGGTCGTCAACACGCCGCCCGCCGCCGCGCCCGGCCAGGCGTCGACCTACGAAATCAAGGGCAAGCCCCTCAACATGCTCGTCAACCAGGGCCACACCAGCAACGGCGCCGCCGGGTCCGCCGTTGTGCTGATTGGCATCGTCGGCGCCCTCGCCCTGTATGCGCGCGCCAAGCTGCCGGGCCGCCCGCTGACCAAGTTCCTGTACGGCGCCTGGATGGTCTTCCAGGTCCCCACCTTTCTGCTGACCCTGTCCGCCCTCGGCTACACCTTTGCCGTCACCAACAAGCACCGCGGCCAGACCATCGACCAGACCGTGGCCTATGCGACGCAGCCCGGGCCCTATGCGCTCGACCAGTGGACCCCGCAAAACTGGTTCGCCGCCGTCCTGGCCCAGCTCGACCTGGCCGACCCGGCCGTCGCGGCCGACCTGGCCCGGCACCTGCGCGTCATGCGCGGCTGGCAGTACAACCTGATCCTGCTCTTCCTGGTGCAGCTGGCCGAGACGGTGCTCGCGCTGGTCGACTGGTGGGCGTGGCGGCAGAACGGCGGGCACCAGGGCCACCTGCAGGCCGCGGGCCAGGCCAGCGAAAAGCACTACGGCAGCCAAGGCGACTACAACGACGGGACCAACCACGGCCACGGCGTCAACTACAGCCAGCTGCAGTACGAGACCCAGGCCTACGACGACGAGAGCAAGAACATCAACCAGCACGGAGGCTACAACAACGGGACCAACGCGCAAGCACAGCAGTACGTGTAGACGGTTGCCTGTACCCTTTTTCGTCGTCGAGTTGATCTTTTTCTTTTCTTTTTTTCATTGTTTTCCTTTTTTCTCTTCACACTCTTTTGCATTTACGACTTCGAGACGATACATCTACCATGGGGACCGTCCAAAGAGGATGTTTCCCCCGTGGCAATCGGCGTTGGGGTTTCTCTCATTTTGTCTCTTTCTTTTTGCCTCTACTGTCCTCTCGCCCCTGTGATCCTTCCTTTGTAAATTTAATGAATATTGCACCTTTTAATATGTCACTCTCTTGTCTTATTTGTCGTTCACATCGTTGTGGACTTGAGCCATCTACAACTACTATAGCTACCATTGCCCATGGACACGGCACAACTACGGACGTGTCTCCCGGCTTTTGCCATCTGACTTCAACCGGCGCCTCGAAGGATCGACGCACAACAGCCTGGGCGCGGATGGGATGCTGCACACGGCATCCGCTTGTCTTGGGATCTGTCCTAATAATAGTAACGTGCTAGTTAAGAGAGACTATATAAGATATATATGTAAATATATATATATAAAGAGAAAATAAGCACTGCACGCCTTGCATAAACAACCATTCGCTCCCACACTTGCAAATTCACCATCAGTACAGGCATACGGTTTTCCAGATTTCATATCGTCGCTGTAGTCGTTTCTGTCGTCATTGTTTGCCGGCCAGTGCTTGCTTAGGCCGTCTCCGGTGCATCCGGGACGCCCGCCGTCGCCGTTTCTGCTGCTTCCGTCGTGGGCTCCGTGGTCTTGGTCTCCGTGGGCGCAGCCTCTGTCGGCGCTGTCTCCGCTGTCGTGGCTTCCGTCGTGGCTTCCGTCGTAGCCTCCGTCGTGGCCTCCGCCGTGGCAGACGCAGTCTTGGGCTTGTTGCCCCAGGTCATGCTGACCTCAATGTACGCGTGGATCGACGTGTCGAGCAGGTCCCGCCGCACCTCGGCCACAAACGCCCTGATGTCCTCGAGCGACCACCCCAGCAGACCGAGCAGCTTGAGCGACAGGCCCTCCATGCCGTTGAGCAGGTCCTGCTGCACATACGCGCCCAGCGTCTTGTAGTACGATCCCTTGGGCCACGGGCTCACGGGCCAGTAAAACTTGCGCTCCACCACGTTCTCGAACCCGGCCTCCTTCATGAAGCGCGGGTAGTGCTTCACGTTGGTCCAGGGCCGGCCGGACAGCTCGGCGCCCTCGGTAATGAGGTCGATCCACCGTTTCAGCGCGCAGTTGGGCGGCGGCGGGCTGGCAAACTTGAGCGGGAAGTTGCCGTCCTGCAGCTCGAGGATGCCGCCCGGCACAAGGTTGGCATACACCGAGTTGATGACGGTGGCCGGGTTGCGGAAGCAGCTGATGAGGGCGCGGCCGTGGATGTAGTCGAACGGCTGGTCAAACGACCACTCGTCCTCGGCATCGTCGACCTCAAAGGTACAGTTGGGCGGGATGCTAGCGGCAGTTAGCGGTGAGTTTGAGTTGTGCAGGCACAAAAACAAGGTACGGGCAAGACAAGAAACGTACAATTCGGGCTGGATGGGACTCAAGTCCGTGCCGATAACCTGCGATTCGGGGAATTCGATGGCTATAAGGTTAGCTGGAGGGAAGAACGGAGGTGTGTGGGAGAGAAAGAGAAAGAGAAAGAGAAAGAGAAAGAGAAAGAGAAAGAGAAAGAGAGAGAGAGAGAGAAAGACAGAGAAACAAGGCTTACCAAACTCAATCGCCCAGATGCCTGTGCCCGTGGCCACGTCCAGCACCCGCTTCGGCTTGTCAATGGGCGACAGGTACGACTTGCCGTGGGCCATCAACAAGAAAATGGCGTGCTGCAGGTCCAGCCGCGCCTGCTCCTGGATGTCGTTGGGCAGCGGATACTTGCCCTCCTTGTACCGGTGGTACGTCCGCCCGTTCTCCTCGACATAGTCGTACATGCTGGAGCGCAGCGACGTCGTCGTCGACTTCAAGATGCTCGACGCGCGCTCGCTGTCGTACAAGCTGTCGACGTCGTCTCGGTCGCCGCCGCCGACGCTGCCGCCGTCGCCTGTGCCGCTGCCGCCGACACCGTCGCTGCTGCTGTCGTCAATGGCGGGCACGGACGGCGCGCTGCCGTCGCCCCACGATATGAGGGACAGGCGGCTGGCCATGGGGACGTGGTCCGCGGCGCGCTCTTCGTCGGCGTCGGCCTCGGCGTCGGCGTCTCCATCACCGTCGGCAGCGGCAAGGTCGTCCACCTCCGGGGCGGCTTCCACGACTTGCGCAGGCGCCGGCTCGGACGCGGGTGCGGATGCGGATGCGGCCTCAGCCGTGGTTGGTTCGACCTTGTCGGCCTTGTCGGCCTTGTCGGCCGCAGGCGCAGCCGTTGATGGCTGCGTGTCGCCGGCCATCGTGTTGCGTTTGTGGAGTTGTGTGGTCTGTGCCGATTGTGGCGTTCGTTGCTCCTTCCGCTGTTTCTGTTATTTCTCTTACTTGCTCTGCAACACTGTTTGTCAGGGATGGAAAGAACAATGGAGATAAATCACGGCATTCGACGGCAGGAGGGGGCTACAAAACCAACATGGGGAACGACCAACATGGGGAGCAACCAACAGCAGGAACGACCGGCGCAAAGACTGGGGCCCCCCTCCCACCATCGTTCTCCAAACGCCCACCGTTATTTGCACTATTGAGCAGAAAAGGGGTGTTTTGGGCACTCCAATGGCCCATGCTCGCCTTTCGTCTGACCATTCCATATGTACGTCTTACACCACGGCCCACTGTATGTTGCATCGCGGGATGTTCCTACAGTCGGAGACAACGGGCAATCTCTCGAAACAGACAATGGCCATAGAGCCACTCAACAAAGTATTCTGGGAAGCCAGACCGCCTGTCCCACGAACCAAAGTGTTGGGGTTCCCGTTGCCTTGGAACACTCTGGCGGGCCGTCCCAAACGGAAAGGTAGACAAACAAGAAGGAAAAGACACTGAAAAGACACTGGAGACATTGGAGACGCTGAAGACACTGAAGACACTGAAAAAGACGACGATAAATACACTATAAACTAGACCAACTATCTCCACTTCGCTGCCGCGCAAAAGGGCAGGCACGCCATCACACCTTGCTTGCGTCTGTCACATCGCACTTGCCCTTCCAGTCATCTCGTCCAAGACATGCCTGCCCCCCACGAAAGACGAGAGACGAAAGGAGGGGCATCCCATCGTTTTCGTCGACTTCATGCAACCGCGGCCCAACCATCGTTTTTGGTCGCTCTTTCCTATCTGCGTCTAGTGTAGCAGGGTTTTGTGGACTCGTCTTTCCGCCAACTTCCTCCGAAAGATCGGACGAGAGACAGTACTGGACAGCCCTCCATTTTCAGGTTCTCATGATTCCGGTCTATCGATTCTCTCCGGCCGTTGCACCACACGCTCGCCACGCACAACGCACGACGAACGACGCATATCCACGCCCTGTCTCCACCTCCGTCCGCGGAGAATGTCCATGGCCCTTTGCGGGCGCTTCCGTAGCGCTCGCTCCGCCTTGCAAGGGTAGGAGCAGACAAGACAAATCGAAGACGAAAAAAGACGACAAGAGACGAAAAAACGAGAAAGACGACTGTCAGACAGAGAGCACAACAAAAACTATCCTAGCCGCCAGACCCCGCGGAAGCACTGCCGCCCGCCGCCATTGTGAGAGCTAGCGACGCAGTGCTGTGGATCAGGCCAAATAGTGCCCGTTGACTACGAGAGAAAATGGCGCCGTTCTCATCATCTCACTGAGGGGGAAATAAATGAAAAGAAAAAGAAAGAGAACAGTCAAGATATCTTACAGGTGACTCTTGGACAAGCTGCGAGCGCACATTGTGGTGGAAGGCTGCATCTCGTGCATATCGCAATCTTTGTACCACGTAATTACACCGCCTCGACCACCTTTGCGACTCTGCACAACGTTATGCAACCCACAGATCAGCATGCATGGACCACTGACAGGATGACAGGACTGTCTTACTCTGCGTTGCGGAGTCCAGTCAGACGAATCATGGAAACAACAGCGCAACATGGCACATGATTCTCAACACCCCGTATGGCTGAATCTCGCAAAACCGCCACGTACTCCGTCGCCGTCGTTAAAAGGAGATGCTCATTATGCTATTCACTTGTAAAGATGACAAATGCACCAAGGCACAGCCATCGGAATCGTGCGGCCCCGCGTTCACCCAAACGTTAACCCAAAAAGTTGCGCACGTTGCCGCCAATGTTCTTCAAGTCGAGCAAAAACGTGTCGTGGCCAAACATGCTCTGCTGCTCGCTGAGCTCGTAATGGCTGACGTTGCGGTTGCCGGCCTTCTTCAAGGCCTCGGCGACCTCGTACTGCTGCCACGCAGGGAACAGAATGTCGCTCGCGACGCCCATCACGAGCGTCGGGTGGTTGCGCAGCACAGCCAGGCCCTGGACCAGATCCGCCGGCGGCTGCCAGCTGGGCGCGCCGGGCATCATGGACGCGACGTGACCGTCGGCGTCTGAGGGCGGGGCGTCCACACGGGGATCGAGGGCGGCCGCGGCCGACGGCTGCCCTGCCTCGGGCTGCTCTTCGTACGGCTTGTCGGGGAGCGTCAGGGAGCAGACGGCGGCGACGGCGTCCGCACCCGCTACCGCCTCTGCCGCCTCTGCCGCCTTCTGCTCGCGCTCCCGCCGCCGCTGCGCCGAGCGTGCCTGGTGCGCCGCCCCCAGGTCAAACAGATCCATCGCCTTGCTCACATACAGCAGGCTGTTGGGGTCGTACGTGAGGCAAAATTTCTCGCCGGCGTGGTCGAGGTACGTCTCGATCAGGAAGTCCGGGCACAGCGCCGGCGGCTTGCTGGGGTCCGCGCGCCGCCGCCCGAACCGCTGCTCCCATTCGGGGCCCGACCGGTACGTCACCGTGGCGATCTCGCGCGCCAGCTTCATGCCCGCGTGCGGCGGGACGCGGCCGTACCCGTAGTAGAAGCCGCGGTTCCAGTTGGGGTCCATCATGAGCACCTGGCGCTGCGTGTGCCGCATGGCAATGCTGTACGGGTGGCTGCGCGCGCAGCCGCTGATGGACACGATCTTGCCGACGCGGTCCGGGAACAGCACCCCCGCCGCCAGCGACTGCATGCCGCCCATGGACGAGCCGACCGACGCATGCAGCCGCTCGACGCCGAGGCCGTCCAGCAGCCGGAACTGCGCGCGCACCATGTCCTCCATGGTCAGGATGGGGAACCGCGTGGCGTAGTGCGACCCGTCGGCCGGGTCGATGCTGCTGGGCCCCGTCGATCCGTAGCAGCCGCCGAGCACGTTGGTGCAGATGACAAAGTACTTGTTGGTGTCGAGCGCGAAGCCCTCGCCCGGGCCGATGAACCTCTCCCACCATCCCGGCTCCGGGTTGATGTCGGTCGAGTGCGCGTGCGAGGACGCCGACAGACCCGTGTGCAGCAAAATGGCATTGGACCGGTCGGCGTTGAGCGTGCCCCAGGTCTCGTAGGCAATGTCGAACTCGCGCAGCACGCCGCCCCAGTCGAGTCGCAGGGGCTCTTCGCAGTGGTAGCGCAGCGTGGCGCCCGAGGTGTAGTTGGGCTCGGGTCCGCTCTCGGATGTTCTCGGCGCTTTCGTCGTCTTTGTTGTTTCTGTTTTCGCCGTCTGCTGGTGGTGGTGGTGCTGCTGCTGCTGCTGGCGCTCAGATTGCAGCCGCTGCGACCGGTCCTCCAGAGCGTCGAGACAGGGAAACGCCATGGCCGGATTGGAAGCTCCACTGCGCCGGGCTGCGGTCATATGTAATGATCGCCGTGACGAATGTTGTGAGAAAGGGACATCGAACAGGCGGCGCGCTGCAGCCGGCCGTTGCGTGCAGAAGGAGCGCCGCACGATCTGTGACGGCCGGTCCACGGCCAGCCGCGTGCCTGAGCGCATGCCCGCACTGGCAAGCGACTGAGCAGCCTTCATGGTGGGGTGGGCAGCGAAAGGAGCCCTTCAACTGGAAAAGTTCGTGATGTTCGCCGAACTCGGATGTGGATAAATGTGTGTGAGAATATGTCGGTAAAATAAAACTAAAAATTGGACGTCAAGCAAAGGCCCGTCGATGTTCAAGGCTCAACCTTGAGAACATTATAAATCAACAAGCTGTTCTGAAAATGAGAACAATATTGTCCAGAGGCGCCACGAGCGACAACCGGCGTTGCGTTTGTCACGGAATAAGGCACGTCAACGTTCAAAATGTCGAAAAACGGCAAGCTTGGCCCCGTCGGCCGCGACCACAGGCCCCACTACAGCGAGCCGACGCCCCCAAAACGGCAACCTCTGGACCGGCCAAGAACCAGTAAGAGCGATGACGGAATTCCACGTGATGTTTCCAGCCGCTCATCACGTGGCATTTTCCGACGTGAAGTTCATTGCCTAGAGTACGAAGTACAGATCCTAATCGATAAGCGCAGCCCGTTGGCCGCATACAAGCGCACCTGCATGCTGTGATGTCATTGGCCCGGGCCACTTTCCCGCCTGAACCATAGTGGTGAAGGAAGACAGGGTGCGTCGTACCTTCCGTAACAGTTAAGCCTCGCCTCCCTGTTCATGACGTGGTGCAAATCCAACTGCGTAAAACGGGAGCCTTGCCCTGAAGACACAGCCTCCAGCATACTAGAGCCTGTAAGACCGGTCTCTGCAATTGGCACACCCAAACGTATCAACAGTAGAAACAAGACACTCGCATCACCAAAACGCTGCCACGACGCAATTACACCTGAAGAGCCACCGCGCACAATCATGTTCTCCGCTGCGCGCACCATCTGGCAGAGCCTCAGCGACGGCAGCTGGTCCTTGCCGGCCGGCGGCGGCCATGGCGATGACAGCTCGACTGGAACAGACGATGGCGACGACTACGACTACGACGACGATGACAAGGACAATGGCGACGCCCAGTCCTATGGCGGATTCTACGAGCCCTCGTTTGCCGATGTCCTCGTCGCCAAGGCCATGCTGCAACGCGCGGGCCACCTGCCACTGGAGCTGGTCGACGACATTGTCGACTACGCAGAGTATTGGCCGCACACCCACGCCGAGGCCGACTATGCCCAGGAGACGGGCAACGGGCTTGTCATCCCGCCGCGCAGCTTCCGCAACGACGGAAACAACAAGTTTCTGCTGCGGACGCTGCCGCTGGGCTTCCGGCGGCCCCCTGTGCCGGGCGGCCGTGACGCTAGTGGAGAAGAAGACGAGTCGAATGCCTACAGCACGACAGAGCCGGAACCGCGGCCATGCCACAATGTGGGCGGCAACGACAGCGGGGACGGGAACGAAGCCAATGGCGGCGTGCTTTGCTCCGACGACGACGTCCGCACATGGTTTCCGGCGGGCCAGGCACCACCGCTCGAGTACCCCTGCCGCAAGATTGTCTTTACGCTCACCAGCCACGACCAGGGCTGGGCCAACAACCAGCGCGACCGAGGCACCTACAAAGGCTCGTACTCGTGGTTTGACGTCGGACTCGAGCGGTACGGCGTGCCGGCCGGCGGCACATCCGAGACGAGCAACGACGGCCAAAAGAGCCAAACGACCCCGGCGATGCCCGCGACGGCATCGCTTTACACCCTTCGGCCAGACGTCGTCGAAGCGCCCGCGCAGAACGGCGACCCGCAGCCCGCGAGCGCCGCGGACCCGCCGGACCAAAAACGCTACCAGTTCTCGTTCCCTCTCCTGCCGGGCGTCGACCGCCTGCAGTCCAACGTTGTGGCCACGCGTGCGTGGACCGAGCACAAGATTGTCTGGTCGTGGACCGACGGCATGGAGGATGCGGACGCGGACGCGGACGCGGACGCGAATGGCCCGGCGTCGGCCGCACAAAACAGCGAAGGCCCACCCGCCAGCACAGACAGCAACATGGCAAATGCGGCAACCACCACGGCAGCCAACGGGCCCCCGACCGAGGACAATGTCGACCTCACAGACGGCCTTGACAATGTACACCCTCTTGAGAAGCTGGGCCGCGGTGCTGAGACGGGCGATGGCGCGTTTGTGCGCAACCTGCGCGTCGGCGATGTCGTGACGCTGTGGGCCAAGGCGCGCTTCCCCGGTTGGGTCAACATTGTCCAGCGAGCACAGATTGACGTCTACTGGGCTGTATAGGATACCAAATAAATGCATCTTACTTGTATTTTTGAATGCTGTGTTTATTTCTGGGCTTGCTTTATGTTTCGAGACATGTATTGCTAGCAATGGATGTGGATGGCAGCATGGGATGGTTTCTATGGCTTTCCCAGGCTTGATGAACATAGACGCCATGGCACATGAGGAAGTTAAGAGAGCTTTCGCATGTAATGATTGTAAAGCACATGGTCGTTCTAGTATAATAGCAGCGGTGTAATTTTCAATAGAGATATCCAATAATTTTTTTCTTTTTTTTTTTTTTTTTTTTTTTTTTTTTTTTTTTGTGAATACTGATTTTTATGACTGCGTTTTATTTTCTTTAATCCTGTTTCTTAAAAAGAGCAAAACAATTATGTCCTTATTTAAAAGTTCATCTGTCGGAAAATACAAGGCTAAAGAAATGTAATATAGCTCTGTGTTAAGGAACGGTCAACACGTAGCCCACAGGTACATATATACATTGAAATTGTGTGATACATTCACATTTCTTTCAGTATCAAAGTTATATTGTCTTCTTCTTCTTCTTCTTCTTTTTTTGTAAATGCATTTGAAATTTATAAATAAGAATAATCAGTTGACATGAAACCTTAACCCGACTCCTCCATCCTTGCGTGTTTGTTCCATGCATCGTTCGCTGGCCGTTGTGATATGTTCATCCCGGTATTGGCTTTTTTGAAGTTTATGGTCCCTCTTGTAAAATGTTCATGTAGACAAACAACAAGACTAGAAACACAGACGCAGACAGCAGGCAAAAGCAGGTAGACAATGAGAAAAATGGAAATTGAAAATACAATGATTGAGAGAAAAATACAAAGGCGCCCATGGATCTCTGTGTGTGTATGTATGGTGATGCTATGACAAAAAAAAAAAAACAAAGAGAAAAACAAGAAACGCCCCGTAGACCCAAAGCCCAGAACCGGCGGTTTTTGACATCTTGTCGACTCCCATCCATGTCGTGTCCTCGCTATGTTTCGTGTGCCCTCGGTGCCCCTGGTATATATATCATTTTCTTTTTTTTTTTATTTGAAATAGTAGCTTCGCTTTTGGAGGTCGCCATGACCCCTCACTCGACATCACGGGTATGCCATGTTCCTCTAGGCTGCTGTCTCGGTGTGACTCCTTTTGTTTTCATGCGTCGCGTGTGCTTTGCCATCTCCATTTTCCATGTTTGTTAAGTCGCCTCGTTCAAGTGCTTTCCCACTTTTGGGCTCATATTTCCGTATTTTTTTTTATTAGTTGGGTTTGTAACATAAGAAAAAAGACAGTCCACAACTGCTACCATATGGTGCAGGACGTCGTGAGAATAGTCGAAGGCGGTGCACTGTCGCGCCGAGTGGGCGGCGCTGGTACGCGATCCATGTCGTGCTGCACAACAGAAAGTGACAGCATCGCATCTGGTCGAGATAATTTGTATCCGGAGCAGCCACAGGACCTGGCCCATCCATTTCCGTGATCGTCATTATCCAACAACGACGTGACCCGGCTGAAGGGGGTCCAGGTACATCGCGATATGGCCAGCAAACAGAGCATGCGCATTCAACTGCGCGGCGTGCTGATTTCCGCATTTTGCCGTCATCATGCCCACAGCGTGCTTAGATCGCAAAGACCAAGACAAGGGGAGAAAGTGCCTCACTTCTTCATCCGACGCGTTGCATTAGCTCGTATGAGGAGACTGCATTTGCTCAACCACCTTTGCGCTCAGACTCATTCTTGGGCAGCTGTTCGCTGTGCGTGTGGGCATGGCCGTTCGCCACCGCTTTCAGATCTGCAGCCTTCTTGCGGGACTTGGGCTTCTGCCAACCATTCGCCGCCGTCACGGCCGAAGCTGCTGGAGCGGTCGTACCCGAATTGCCGGGAGCCACATCAATGCTCTCGCTCTTAGCGCCGCGGATGTGGCCGTTGGCGGCTACGGCCGAAGGACCCTTGCCGTTGACACCGCGGTGCGGGAGATGCACAGATGCTGCCGTGGACGGCGATGTGGTCGTTGGCGAACCAGAGCCTTTCTGCTTGGTCGCCGTCGTCGTCGTCGACGTGGTTGTAGCATCCGCCTTGGCTGTCTGGGGTGCCTTCTTCGTGGCTGGGCCCTTGCCTTGGCTGGCCTTGCCTCCGCTGTACGCGGTACTGTGCGCGGTGTGTGTGCTGTAGGCCATGGGTGAGCTGGCACTGGGGCTGGATGCCGAGGCGGCAGCAGCAGCGGCGGCGACCGAGGAGAACTTGTCGGCATGGGACACGGGGCCCTTGTGCGTGTGCGCAGCAGACGAGGACGACGCTGTGTTGGACCGGCCATTGCCAGCGGTGCCAGCGCTGCCAGCAACACCACCAAGCAAGGTGTCGAGCTTCCGCAGGTTGGTGGGCGACGGCGTGCGGTTCTCGTACACGGGCGATAGGTGCTGCTGGGTGTCGGGCGACGACATGAGCGAGTGGTCTGGCATGGCGAGGTCGAGTGGCGCAATGCCCTTTTGCTGCTGCCGAGACAGGTTGCGCTGGCGCGGCGATGGCAGCTGAGGCACGCCGCTCGTCAGACCAAGACCATGGCCGGCAATCGCTGCATACGGCAGCGGGCTGAATCCGCTCGTCAATCCTCCGTTCATATTCATGGCAGCTACGCGCTGGTTAAACGACTGGGCACCATGCGACGGCGGCGATGCGACGGTGGACGACGACGCTGAACCGTTGGCAATGACGGGCGACTGCGTCATCGGCAGTGGACCGTTCATCTCCACGGCGGGCGGAGTCACGACGTGCTGCGGGATGTCCGGCATGATGCCAATACCACTGATGCCGAGGCCGCCGTGTGCCGTAGAGGACGTGTACGAGTTGGCCGACGACTCATCGGACATGACGCTGTCGCTGGTGGACGGGTAGCGCGACTGGGGCGTGGGCGTCGTGTGGCCGACACCATTCGGCAGGCTGGGCGACGTCTGGTAGTGGAAGTTGGGCACACCGTTTGGCTGCCCAGTCGGAGGCGACAGACTCGACGGCTTGGCAGAGACGGAGCCGTTCACAACGAGCGGCGACCGGCTGGCTTCCTTGGCTTGCCGGTTGCCCGCAACTGGCGAGAAGGGCCCGGACGCCAACGGCGCGGTGTTGTTGCCACCGACAGACTGAGCGCGGCCATGGCCTCCGTTGTGCGCACTGCCAAGAGGCGACGGCGAGCGAGAAGCGCGACGCATGCGGCGATCGATGAGGAAATGCGGCAGCTGGTCGGTCGACAGGCGGCGCTGGTTCATGCTGCTGCCGCCACCACTGATAGGTCCGCCGTCGCTGCCCAGCGGACCGAGGTCGCCAAACGAGGGAATCGCACTGGCCGTGGCGGTACTGGCCGGCGATGCGCCGTCGGATGAGGCAGCGGAAGGGTTGGCTCCATGCGCAGACGTCGGCTCGTTCACATAGTATCCAATGTACTGGGGCCCGTCTTCCTCGGACGAGTGGCCGTCGGACATGGTCTTGCTAGGTGCTGTCGTGGATGTACCAGTCGTGGTGGTGGTTGTGTTGGTGGTCGTTGTCTCGGCCTCGGAGTCGGCATTGTCGTCGCGGATGAAGCTGGGAATGGGAATGCCGTTGGCTGTGGCAGTGCGCGCGTAAGGAGCAGACGTCGGGGATGCAGAGGAAGGGACGCCGCCACTGCCATTAAACTGAGCGGTGCTCAACAGATTCCCATGGCTCTGGCTGCTGGCCATCGAGGGTCGCGAGGCCGGCTGCGACTGCGACCGCAGCGTGCCGGTCGGTGACGACACTTCGGACGTGGGCCCTGCCCGATGTAGACTCCTACGGAACTCGGACGGGGCTGTGGCCGTGGACGGGGACGATGGCAGCGTGGTGAAACCAGGGTTGGGGGGAATGGCATAGTAGGGCGTGGGCAATTGCGGCATCGCGTACATATACAGGTCCGGCCGTATCGGCGCAGTGAGAGGCGGGTTGTCAAAGGAGTTGGTGCGTGACCGGTCTGTCGCCGACGACGCGGCTGTTTGCTGGATGCGCTGGGCATGCGTTAAGGCGTGCTGCTGTTGCATGTAGGCCTGTGGGTTGGTCAACATTTGGTACCGCATCAGCGATTGCTCGGCTTGGTGCATTTGCAGAGCGTTGATCGTCAGCATGTCCGCCGGGAAGACGTATTGCTGTTGTTGTTGCTGCTGGGGTGTTTGTGCGCCGCTTTGCTGAGACTGCTGTTGCTGCTGCGACTGCTGCTGCTGCTGCTGCTGCTGCTGCTGCTGGCTATGTTGTGCCAATGCCAATGCTAGTTGCTGCTGGTGCGCAAACCACTGGAATTCTTGCGGCGACATCATAGGCATCATTGTGGCACCCTGGCCGTAGAGCGACGGGCTGCCGTTGTTGCTGTTGTCGTAGGCGACGCTGGACGAAGCCCTCCGGCTGTTGTTCCCGCTCCTATACTGACGATTGCCCCGGAAGCTGCTGCCGCCACGACCACCGCCGCCACCGCGCGAGGTAGAATGCTGCTGAGACGAGCTACGTAGCAGGATCGGCCGTGGCGCTTGTGCCGGCTTCTGGAAAATCCTCTCTTCTTCCTTGGGGAAGACATACTCCTCACAGCATTCGGCGAGCTTGGCTTGGGAGATGAGGTCGAACGCGCGCCGCAGCTCCATGTGCAGACCGCGGAAGGACGTGTCGTCGGCGGTGTTGCTGAGGTTGCGCACAGTGTTGAACGGTTCCTCGACGCAGAGCATGTTGTTCAACATGGTGTGCCACTTCTTTTCCGTTTTTGTTGTCAGCTTGCCGAGTCGGACAGACAGGACGTATTTGTCGTAGTCGAACTCGTAGGCGTAGAAGCGGAAGAAGTGAAACAGAAGCTCGCCGAGCGTCTCCTTGTTGTCCTTGCCAAATCCTGCCAGCTTGTTCATGTCGTCGGCGAACTCGGATACTGTGCCGTCGGGTCGTGGCAAGCGACCGTCCACGCGCTGGTGTATTGACGGCAGAATCGGGACCTTGCGAAGCTGAAGGAAACAGATGACCATGCAGATCCAGGTATATGAACTCAACGTTTGCCCATAGGCAGCGTCGTTGATGATCCTCCGCCGCGTCCAGTACTTGATGATCATGGCGAGCGGGCGGACGCGCTCGTCGATGTTGACGTAGGTCAGGACCATGCGGGTGTTCTCGAGGGCGAGGGTGTTGTTGACGTTCATGTCGCAGGCGAGACCGAGCTCGGGATCCCAGATCTTGACAATGGGCACTTTCGCGGACGACACGCAAACGACCTTTTCCATGCCGCGGCTGGCGAGCAGACTGGCAATCATGCAGACGTTCTCCATTTCCTTCCAGTCGGTAGTGATACATATGTCCACTATAGCACGTTAGTATGGCTGGCAGTTTGCCGTTTGTCACAAATAAAGGGGGGCAGGGAGGAATGTCGAAGGACCGGCTGCTTACCGTCGGAGTCGTTGAAACATAACTTGTTCCCCGACGAGCCAAAGATGTGTACACGAATATCGTGGCCGGGCCATTCCTCGTTGAATATGGATTGCAGCTTCTCAACAAACTTTATTCGCTTGTCCTCGGTTTTGTCCGTCTTGTCTGTCTTGTCCGTCGTGTCCGCTCCCTTGTCGGGTCGTAACTGGTCGAACAATGCGAGCATGTCGGACGTCAGCTTCTTCTCTTCGTCATCCGTCAACTTGCTCTTGACTGTGTCCAGAGGCACAGTGTCGAGACGGTCGGTGCCGAGGCTATAGTGCATTCGCCGGCGACCGTGGACGAAGGCGGTTTCGTAGATGCAGTTGCCATCACGGGGCGGAAGACGGCGGAGGGAGGGCAAGGTCGAGTTTGTCTCGGAGTAGGCGGAGCGTGGCGAGTGGTTCTGCGTGGCGTTGGGCGACGGCTCGCGGGACTCGAACGAGAAATTTCGCGCATGCTGGTGCGGCGTCGACGGCACCGAGCTGGCCTGTGTCATAGGCGCCTTGCCGTGCGGGCGGGGCGACTTGGAGTGCCGTTGATGGTGGATGCCGTGTTGCTGTTGCTGCTGATGTCGTGACGACATAGAAGCAGCGACGGGTCGCGACGCGGAGGGCGCGGAAAGGAGATCGGGAGATCCGGACTGCTGCGGAAGTGCAGATTGAGCGGATTGAGCGGATTGAGCGGATGGCGCAGGTGGCTTTGGCAGACTTGAAGCATTTGCCGCACTTGAACTTGACGGATTTGATGGCGCCGACTGCTGCTGCTGCGGCCTTGACGCAAAGCCTTTTTGCGTCGGGTCTTTCCCCATTTTGGTTACCGGGCGGTCCAACTTGTCGGCGGGTTTATTGACCTTGCTCCCATGGCAATTCTGATTGGATTGTGTTTGTGGTGGCGACTGTGCCGTCTGGTGCTGGTGAGATTGTGCCTGCTGCTGCTGCGACTGGGAGTGGGAGTGAGCGTGGGCGTGATTGTTGTGGTTATGTGCGTGGTTATGGGCGTGGCTATGAGAGTGGTTGCTGCTGTTGTTGTGGTGAGATTTGGACGATGACCGCGATCGTGGCGCTGAGGCCTGCACAAAAGGGGCGGACAAGACGGGCGGGAGCGGCTGCGTTTGCAAGCCCACGCCACCACCACGACTTGGCGAGATCAGCCGGTTGTAGTTGAGCAGCTGGGCCTGGTAGATGGAGGGATGCTGCGGGAAGAGAATGGGAATGAGGTCCAGCGGCGCTGCGGCGGTGATGGGCGTGGTGGCTGTCACGGAGGGCGTCGTGGAGACAGCTCTTGGAGTCGACGGAATCGCAGCACCGCCAACAGCAGCAGCAGCAGCAGCAGCAGCAGCAGGCGAGACAGGGGTCTCGGGGAGGGGAATACTCGCCGGCAGACGGGGGGTGGACGCCGAGGGCGAGAGATGGGCGGAGGGGGCAAAGGCCGATTGGGGGTGGTGTGTTTCGATTCTGCCGTGGTTGGCCGACTGTCCATGGAAGGCGATATGGCCGCGGCGGTGCGGGTCCCTGGAGGCACCGGGACAGAGGCGACAAGCGTGGATGTAGCCGTGGACGTAGTCGTGGCCGTGCCGGGGGCAAGAATGCAGAAGGAACCGTGCGCACTGCTACGCGCGGCGTCGGTATACGTATCAAAAGGCGACAGCGGTCCGTAGGACACAAATGCTCAAGAGGCGATCCGTACGATGGGAGAGGGGGGGAGGGTGTTGCGTTGGCGTGCCAGAAGCCGGACGACGGCAGACGACACAATGTTCGTCGGGAGGGAGAGGGACGGCGACAGATTGAGGAGGCGGAAAGGGGATTGTCGACAGTCGGGCTGGCGTGGAACGACGGAGGGCAAGTCGGCAACAGAAAGATGGTCGAACGTCGAACGCGGGGAGCGCCCAAACGGCGAACAAGTTGACCGCGAGAAGGAATAATGGGGGGAAAAAGGGATGGACAGCGACAGGTCGAGGAACGGACACGAAGGCGGACGGCCGGCGAGACGACCTTTCGTTGGATCGTTCTTGGGATATTCCAGGGGGACGAGAAAGAAAGCGCGGGTAAAATGGGAAATGGATGAGCGAGAGGAGGACGAAGCGAAGGCCAAAAACGAAACGGTAAAGAAGGCTCAACGGAATGTTGCTAAGAAAGTCGAATTGTAAGAATGGGGGCACAGAAAGGGATTCAGCTTGCCTTGTCTTGGCCGGGACGTCGAGTGGAAGGGAGAGCCGCGACGACGAGGAGACGAGACAAAAGCAGATACCGAAGAAGAAAGAAACAAAGTAAATGGCAAGGATAAGGAAAGAAACAAACGTGCAATGCGTCGGTGTGTCTGCGTTGCGTGGAGAAACTGGGCGTGGTCGACACGAAGACTGCAGGACTCCTGAGAGGCAGAGGGTGTTCAAAGGGAACACAGGAACACCAAGTGTGCGAAGAGGCGCGGCGCGGAAGACGGCAAAAAGAGTGCCAGCGGCGTGGTCGTCGGGAGCCAAAGGATGCCGAAGAAGGGCTAACTGGGGCGTGGACGAGGGCCCAGTGTCGCCATAGAATGAATGCTGTTTGCGTAGATGGGACGCCTGTGGTAGAGTGGTGGCTCTCTGTGCGGTTCCGTGGCCTGGCCTATGCGCCTGTGGGGCCAAGGGTCGCAGCGAACGTTCGGTGGGAGAAGCGCGCGAGTGGGAAAAGGGGCAGAGTGGAGGGACTGGAAGTGTTCGAAAAACCGTCCCTGACAGACCCTAAAACGTGAGTAGGCTCTGCCGAGGGGCCGCTGATCCAGGGCTGTTAGGGGGTTGGGCGGTGTTGGACGTAGTAGGGATGGGGGAATGAGACAGTAAGAGGTGAAAGTGGAGGGTTAACGGGTCGAGTGACAGAAGCTGCAATTGAGGGTGAGAGAAAAGACGAAGCAGCGGAGAGTAATCGAACACGATGCGATGCCCGTTTCTAGGGACGACAGTACATTAGGCAATTGCAAAATCTGTCCAAAGTAGGTAGGAGGCAATCGTGAGACAGCATGTTGTCGAGAACGAGAACCAAATAGAGAAGCTGCGACCCGAGCACTCAAACGGGCGATGCGGATTGGGATTAGGCTCGACTGTGCTCTGAACCACAACTACTCCCATGTACTACCCCGTATTTCTAGCACGGTTCTCGCGGTTATGGGCTCGCTTCTGTGGAGCAGTGCCCTATAAATTTCGTTTTGGGCTGTGTGGCGGCGTCCTGTACAGTGCGCAGGACGTGCGAGCACGCCACTAAACGGCCAGTTGGACAGTGTGGATTTTATTTTTAGCGCAACTGATGCCCTAACAACAAACGAGACAGCGACAGGCTCTAGCAGAGTCGTTTTGTAGTGTCAGTGACAGAGACAGGGGCAATATGGCACCTGCCGTGGCTCTGAACAACCTGTTTTATGGCCGGTGACCTCAGCTATTGCAGAACTCCAAATACATTGCTGAATACAGCACAAGACAAGTGGTCCATGGATACGAGCACCTTGCCTAGGGTAGGTCTGGCTTTGTCTGGCCAAGCATTTCTTCGTTTCTTCGTGTGAGAGCCGCTCGTAACACAGCCTCGCACCAAGGCACGGAATACAACAATACGACGTCTGGGGCATTGAGAGAATTAGATCGCGAAGTACGATACGATGTTCGATGTACGACGCACGCCGTACTATCATCAAATATGAGTGTCCAGCGTGACCACTACTCAGAAGACGAGCGGCAGCTGCTGAGCGCGGCTGACCTCGGTGACCACAGCAGATCGACAGTACCAGAACCCCCCCCCTCCCCAGAGAGCCGCAGCCTCGGAAACGAGCTGACAAGCTGACAGTCCTAACACGCGGAAGACGGCTGACTGGATATATAAATGTATCTTACACGCACCAAAACTGGGGGAGTATACCTTTGACGTCGTACTCGTCAGGCGTTTTCGAGATCGAAAGTAGAAAGGCCGAGACAGCGTCACGTTTGCCAGCGGCCTCCGTTGCAGCCCCAGAACAAACAGCAAAGAGCACACAGCAAACAGCAAACAGCAAACAGACAAGGCAGTGAGTGACAGAACGAAGTGAGCACGGGAAGGTAGTGGACACCGACAGCGTGTACGACATACGAAAGAGTGTTTGCTGTGGGATACGGGAGTACGTTGTGTGGTTGATGTCTATGCTGTTCCGAGGAGACGGCACTGTGCCGGACTAGCAGAACACAGAGAGGAAATACTGTACGAATATACAGTATAACCCAAGGAACGCACTGTCAGAGTATCCTACTGTGACAAGCTGGAACTGGGCGGCGAGACAACTGGTGCTCTGAGTCCCCCCGTTTGAGTCAGAGGCTGCGGCAACATGTCACAGGCGCGGGAACGGCTGAAAACGCAACGGGTATTGCCTGTCTGTCAAGTGGAAGAATGAGGCAAACGCAGACACATCAGCTGTGCCTCCTGAACCACGTCCTGGTCCTGATTTGATCCAGTTTCCGGGTGTCGTCGCACAGCGTGCTCTGTCTCTAATTACCTCCCTGCGAAATGTGATATCAAAACTGACCATCCCCAGGTGTGCGAACTGGCTGCTGTGAATGGCGCTCATGAAGCGATACGTGGGGAATACACGGGTTTTCCGTTTTCCATGTTGGGAAGTGAAATACGGGCATTGGTCGAGCTGATAATCGATATCATGCGATGTGCCATTTTGGTCTGGAACGCGAGGAATGGCCACTGGGCAATGGGCACCCACGCCCTAGCGCCACATGTTGTGTGGAGAGTGTTTGGGCAACTCACCAAACGCCATTTTAGTGGGTAGCTTTTAATGGGTTAATTTGACAAGGCCGCGCGCTCCGCAAACACGCGCGAAGACGGTGGAATCAACATACACTTTCCAAAGGCTGGGAAAGTACGAAGTAAAGGAAATGAGAAGGAGCGGATGCTCGAAGCAGGTGCGCAGGCACGAGCAGTCATAAACACGGACGAACTAGGAAAGAGCCTGGCGTCAAGCTTGGTAAACAAAAGGAAGGCCCAAAGAGCGCGGTTTCCTTTTCTTCCCCATTGACTTTTGCGCGAGGCCCCAAATGCATTTCCGCATGCGTATTGTTGGGCTGATGGGTTGGGGCACAAGAAAGCAAGATATGGCATGCGGCACACAGCGCATAAAGAGAGACGAACGTCCGGTGAGAACAAAGACGCAGAGGCACTCCATCTTCTTCTCAAACGATGCCCTGGACATGGCTTGTCTGCGAGGCAAATGTCAACATGACCGGTGGCCATGCAGGTCGCCCATCGTACCTCCCCCAAAAAGCAGCGTACAAAGCTATTCCCGGAAGGGGCAAGGGAGAACACGACGGAGAAGTGGAATGTTCTTTCCGCAGACATAAACGACGCCAGCAGAAATGCAAAGAAAGCAGAAGAGACAAATGGCAGGTGCAAGCGACGCCATAGCCAAACAGCCCACATCTTCAGCCTTCTCTCATCTGGAGACAAACGGGTAAAACTAGCCTTCTCGAAACAAACGACATCGTTTGATTTATCTCCCTTCAGGCCAGCCAGCCCTCGGACCCGAAACAGCCACTGCATGCAACCATTCTCGTGGTATGCTTTCTCTCTGGCGAGAAAAGATTCTGGCAGGATGCAGCTAAGACAAAGACGGACAAGAAACGAGCAAAGAGTATGCGACAAACAGCCAGAGGAATACAACAAAAAACCCAAGCGACAAGAAGACGCACCTGGGCTGGGTCAAACGTTGACATGTCATGTGGTGGCTTGCCCGTTTGGTCCTATGCCCCTATTCCCAGGCCCCGTTTGCCTTTTTTTCCAACTGGAGCGTCCTGTGGTTGATATGTGTCCACCGCCCTGACAAGGCCAAACGAACTTTCTGCTTTCCCTGGTTCGCTGGGGCTGGCCCCAAACGGGCCTCCTTTCATCTTCTCGCTTCTCCTTGTGGTGTCTCCGTTTGCGTCTCGTTTCAGTCGATGACCAATGCCCATTTCGCCTTTTCGTGTTTTATTGCCGCCGGCTACGGCTACCGCATCCGAGCTTCTGTCCTTCCGTCTACGACGAACTCGTGTGCCTGTTGCGTGCTCTCGCCTCACGTACCGACCCCTATTTGTTGACGACGATAATCCAATACCATTTTCCAGCCAAAGACAATACCAAGACCAGAGTCAAAGAGACACATGTAGTTGTACTGTGTATTGGCGTTGACAGAGCTGGGGGTGGGGAGGCCAGGGGGCCATCTCCACAGGGATATGGAGTTTCTTGACGTTCGGGAGCTGCTCCCTACGCACGGAGCACGGAGCAGTCCGTTCGGTGCAGGCTCGGTCCCTGCATGCGACGTACAACGTCCCGACCACTGGTTTTGCTTCATTGGAAAGCCAACTGCGGGAAACCCTAGGTCCAACAACTGTTGACGGGAGATTTGCCTTGGCAGCCAGAAGCAAAGAGCAGATCGCAGCATAATTTACACATAAATTCTGGGCAGATCCTCTCGACAATATGTCACTCTGCGCCCTCTCC